ATGTAATGTTGATGTTTTAATTTGTATATGAACTCTTAATTTACCAAGTGCCTACTCATCTGTATTTTATATAATTCTTATGACTATCTTATAAGATAAGAAAGGCAGAATTATTATCCCAATTTTACTAATGAGAAAACTGAGTAGCAAAGGATAGAGTGAGTTTCCAAGTCACAAAGCTAATTATAAATAGTGTCAAGACTCTGGAGTCAGATCTTCTGACTCCAAGGACAGTGCTATTTACCCTACCCTGTTACTCCCCGTATTAGGAATGCTTACCTCTATCTCTGACCACAGATATCTTACTATGTTTTTGTTTCCGATGTTCCTACCAACCTTGTAACACTGATTTAACTGAGTTAAAACCAAAAGTAGGGTGAAAGAGGTGGGGAAATAATCTCATGTGACTACTGTATTCTGATCATGAATTAAAACCTTGTGTGTCTTGGGTATAATAAAGCTAATATCAGATCTTTTTAGCATTTTCCCCTCTCTGGTTTGTAGGAAACTGCTCAGCTTTCTTAATAAAATCAAACCTAAATCCTCCAGGTGTGGTGGTGGAGACAAGATTTTCCACATGGAAAACTGGGCCCTAGTCTCACCTCTGTAATTCCCTTTCCTCTTGGTTTCTTTTGCTCTTTGTTCCTTCCTCGATTGAGGAACTTGTATCCCATATTTGCCCCCTTTTTGGAAAGAATTTATTCTTGGCTCTTCCATAAAATCTTTATATTGTAGCTAACAAGACTAGGCTGGAATATTCAAACAAAGCATCACTGAAAAAGTTGAGTTAACAGCTGACATACAACTAGATGTTTTTGTTATGCCTTCTCCAGGGCCCAGGAACTGCTGGCCTACTCCCATCTGTTGCCAAGGAACATGTACTTAGATCTCTGCCCTTCTTGATGATGGTACCCAAGAAAACACTTTCTACAAATTGACTTCATAATCTTTGTAGTGTCTTCTTGTCTAGGTTCTGTTTTCCTCTCTAAGCCTATTCTTCTGTAATGATCAACAGCAGGCATGGTGGCCATCTTTGGGAGAATTTCCTATCCACAAGGATATAGTTTTACTGTGACCTCAAAAGGGCAATCATATCAGATCACATATTCCACAATATTTATCAGATAGATAGGTAGAATATTAGAATAGGACATTTGAAAGATTGAGTATAGCCATATCAATTACCAGTAGTTTTGTAAAAGTTCGTAGTTCAGATGCTAGTGGCTTAAGCTGACACTGTCTTTTTATCGTTCTAGGTATCATGAACTGATCACAAAATATGGAAAGTTGGAGCCTTTGGCAGAAGTGGATCTAAGACCCCAGAGCAGTGCAAGAGTAGAAGTCCACTATAACGATCAGGTGGAAGAAATGAGCATTCGTCTTGACCAAACAGTTGCAGAACTAAAAAAACAATTAAAAACTCTAGTGCAATTACCCACAAGCAACATGCTTCTCTACTATTTTGACCATGAAGCACCCTTTGGCCCAGAGGAAATGAAGTACAGCTCTCGGGCACTGCATTCCTTTGGCATTAGGGATGGAGATAAAATTTATGTGGAATCCAAAACAAAATAACCTCTATGAGTCTTGTAAAAACACACACATAAATTGCAGGGCATTTATTTCCATGTGGTTTTTTTTAGAAGGGAGAAGATCGTTTTTGTTTTGATTTATTTTATTTAGGTTTGGCAGGGATGATGGTGTATATTTTTCCCCCTAGAATGAGTAAGGGGCTGTTTTTGGTATTTTTTTACCAAGATTTCTTCAGCTTAGCCAGCAGAATTGGCCTCATCTCCAGTCCATGTGCCCCCTCTCATGAAAGATAAGTAAAAAAATCACCATCTTCTTTTTGTATTCCCTGGGCTTTGTCTACTGCTTAGTTATTACCATTTAGGTATACTTGTGAAGATAGCATGACCAGTATACCCCTTTCAGAAGGGTATCTTATAGTATTTAAATCAGGAAACAAGGATCTTTACAGGCAGAGCCAGCTCTTTTCTTTCTCTTTCAGTTCCTCTTTTTCCTTCCCTCTCCCTCCTTTTCTTTTCTTTTTTTTTTATTGTGTGTGTGTGTGTGTGTGTGTTCAGTTTTTCATTTTGACTTGTGTCAGCACATGTTTTACTAATAGTTTTATTCTTTCCATAATTCTTATTTCTCATATTGGCTGATTTTTTCTTTAATTTCTCTCTTTTGAAATAATTTAAAGTGTTTTATGCATTTTTCAACCTGATTCTGATCTCAGGTACTCAATTAGAACCTATAACTCTGTTAGGATCTTGAATTAGAGTAGATGGAGAGCTACAACTCCAGGAAAACTTACTGTTATTCTGGAAGCACAGGCAAAGCAGTCTGATTTCTTTGTATGTAACTATCTCAGTTTTAATGTTCCTCATACATTATATCAACCATTACTTCCATAACATAAAATATATCAGATTCTAGAGTTCTTTTATTTTTTGCTTATTGAATGTATTTCCTCACATCTATCATTTTCATTACATTGGGAATAGAGGCCTGAATTTATGAAGAATCCAAAAAGTAATGGATATATGTGCCAGGAGAGTTGAGAATTAGCTAATAAACTATCTGTAGTGTGTGTGAAGGAGTAGAGTGGGGAGAATATTGGAAAAGAGTGTTGATTTTCCTGCCTGTGTCACCATTTGAAGCTCTTGTTCTTGCACTTTGTATTAAAAATAGGAAGTTTTAATCAAAGGGAGCTTTGATTCCCAGTTCTTCCTGAGATTTTGTGATGTCATAATTGAACTATTCTTTTTATTTTATATTCAATTTAGTTGCCCCTACAGAAGAACAACTCTATGAGTAAAGTATAAGTGTCAAAACCAGAATTGCCTCCAAGTCATATTTTTTTCAGAAGCACATTTTAAAAAATACTAGTTCCTTACCTGCTCTGAAATCTTTTTTGTTTGTTCTTCTATTCCTTTGTTAATCAGTGCAATCCCTTTCTTTAATGTATGACTGTCTTGGTCCACCATGTTTACAGATGGGAGACTTGAGAAAGACTTAGCATAACTGGGGCAGAAGGTATGCACAGGAAGTATTTTTCAAAGAATATAATCATTATCTGATTGTGTTTGACCTTTGGACCTTTTTATATGATTTTACTGCTCCTACAATTTTTTAAATTTCCTATGAAATTTTTAGGTGACTTACAAACTCTTCATGTATATGGTGTTGTGTTTATTATTGCTACTTTAAAATTTTCCCTATGCCATAATAGCAGATGTTTATTCTCTTAATGTACTTCAGGATCAGTATTTGTAAAGCCTTTGACCCAGAACTACTGAGTCAAATCTACATTCACTGTAACATTAAAGGTGGAAACCAAAGGGTTCGAGAAAGATGAATGAGGCCTATTCTTTGCTGCAGACTTTATCTTTTAAATTCATAGAAATGAGCAGTGGCAATCTAAACTAGATATATACAAAAATTATTTTGTAATCACATTTTTCTGACATATTTTCAGAAGTGGGAAAAAAGTGTGGCCACAGTGTCATGAAGATTAAAACTGTGGGTGCTTTGTGTATGTGTGCATAAGTACAGACGAGTTTGAAAGAGAAACAGTGTAATGGAGCCCATTGCTTTTATCGGCCTGGGAAACAGATGCACTCTTATTTTTTGATGTTGTATGATCCCTGACTGTCCCACAGCAGAAAGCAGAACAGACACTTATGTTATGTTTTAATTGTAAGTGGAATGGTCACAATTAATAAGATATTTTATATATGACAAAGTTTTATGAAATGCTTTTTTTTACTATTAGAGACCTGTACTTTCTCTTATTACAGAACAATGTCCATCAACTGCAGACATAATTCTTCTATTATACAGTTGCATGTCAGGGGAACTTCTCATTTAATTCCATGGACATGGGTATTTTTAGAGGATTATAATTGATGATTATAATAATTACTGAATAATTTTTGATTGAGACAAACTAATACAATTACCAGTCTTTTAGAAGTCAATTAGAAAAGCTATTTGAGCATTCATACTTGTAGATTTATTTGGGTGGCTGAGTAAAGATGCTGCTTCTGAAATAAAATTGGTGCTGTGTAGATACTTTTAACCAAAATTATTTTTATAACAGGCCAAGGAGAAGATGAGAAGAGTCCATGGACCTTTGAGTCTACAAGTTATGCATAATTGATTGCTATAGCTTAGCTGTATTTTAATATTGACTTCATTCAGATTCAGCGAGAGCATATTATTGACATTTAAGAGGCAGAATGCTGTCATAGCCAGTATTACATATTTATTGCTATAGGCACAGTGTATAGAACATATCTTTTCTAAAATAGAATTATTTTTAGTTATGGAAAAGAAAAGGAGTAATAAAGAAAGCCAAATCAAAACCAAGGGATCCTTTCTACATGTGAGCATGTAACTCCTGAAGCCACATTAGAAATCAATTTTCTAATTTTAATTGTTGAAATATCCCAGAATGCTTTAAAGAAAAAAGAAGTTCAGAGTTGTATACCTTTTTTATTATTAAAAGTTTCTATTGTTTCTGTAACCTATTGCCACATTGCAATAAATACATTAAAAAGCAGCAGATATTATATAACCTCTTGTTTCTTTAAAACCTTTTGATGAAAAACATCCCCAAACATGAGCTATTTGTAATGGAGCCTAATGTTATGACGCTATGTTTTAACATTTTGTTTACTTAAAAAAAATTAAAGTTCAATTCTAACCACATGTTTTAGCTATGTTGCTAAATCAACAATGTTATGAGCAGAGAACACGTGTTGCACAAGGAACTGATCACTAATGAGGCACACTGGTAATGCTTTTACTAATGCACATGTGAGTGTGGCTTGCTACATAAAAAACAGGACTACAGAATAATAGATTGTTCTAAGCAATGTCATTTCTGTTTATGAATTTATTTTCTCCTTCATTTAATGTTAGAATTAATTGCAAACAAACCGCTTTAAAAAACACCCAGAAGCTATCTGTGTTACCAGATGTGTTGTGAACACTCTATTTTCCATAGGTGCTTCCTTAAGATATATGTCCATTGTAATGATGGAGAGAAACTCACTGGACCTATACTTGCCAGTTGTCTCCTGCAGTATACATCTTGACAACACAATTCCAGAAAAAAATCAAAACACAAAGAGAAAGCAGACTTGGATTTTTAATTTTTTAAAAAAGATTCTGTGTGTGTGTGTGTGTGTGTGTGTGTGTGCAGTGCAAAGAATAGACCTTCATGCTTAAATTATATTCCAAAAAATATATATATATTTGGAATATAATTTAAGCATGAAGGTCTATTCTTTGCACTGCACACACACACACACACACACACACACACAGAATCTTTTTTAAAAAATTAAAAATCCAAGTCTGCTTTCTCTTTGTGTTTTGATTTTTTTCTGGAATTGTGTTGTCAAGATGTATGTTTATTTTTATATAGCTAAAAATCAACATCAAGGCTGTTATTGAGTCCTCTGGGGAATTGACCTAAGCTGGTAAGGGTTTCACCATCTTAACAAACTTAATCGGAATTTTGTTGAAGTTAGAAATGAAAACTGGAAAACAAAGATTCATAAGAAATGTGTTATTGCTTTTGTTTTAGCAAAGTTTTATACTTCTAACATGCTCTCGATACTCCATTTTTATCTTTTTAAGGAGAAAAATCTTTGAGGTATTTGACATCTCCTTTTTTGAGTAAGAATGCAAAACTCATTTTGGTGAATTAAAAATTTGTGACACTTTTTTCCTTTGAAAAATAATTTTTATAAGAATTAGAATTTGGGACACTTGAATCCTACCTGCTTATCAATAATTTCTTGGTAAACCGTTATGAATTAACCTTGTACCAAGAATTAAGGACCAAGAATTGTACTTTATTTCTGTGTTTAAAGAAAGAGCCTACTAACTTTTCTTAACGCTTCAGAAGTGCATAAGTGTGATCTGTCTAAAAAAATTTCTACCTCATTCAAATTTTGAAGAACTGTAATTTTAACTTCTGTGCTAAATTCTATTTAATTAGTATTTATTGTGAGCTTCTCTGAGCACTTGCAAGTATTTTGTCTATGTGCAAGGTAGACATATATCAAGACATCAATACCCATAGGACTGAAAAATGCTGTGACTTTTATATTAGAATGTTTATAAAACAAGAAAGTTAACCTTTAAAATCATATTTTTCTTTCTAATTCTTCTCTGAAAAAAAAAACTATGTTTTCGAACTTAGACTTAGAACTTTAGAGTTCATTCTAGCCAGATACATTTTAAAATATATATACATCATTATAGATATTAACATCAGTCATTTCATCTACTTTTAAGTTTTCCATGTAATTAATATTTAAGAATTGAGTTAATCTATGAAATGAATAACATGCCATACTATATCTCTTTTATATATAAGAATTTCTGATTCCTTCAAAAATTTGAGAGTAACATTGGGAATGTTTAGCTTTTTTTAACAAACTGATCTATTAAATTGTTCAAATTCATATATTTGCCTGTATATAAATATAATGAATGTATAAACATATTCTTATGCTAGCTTCCTACCTCACTCTAAACTAAAAACAACATAACATTGGAGTTCCGCATTATTCTGCCAAGTCAGTGACATTTTACAGCTTTATTTTAAAACACTGAAACAGTAACCTAAATAATAATTGAGCCTAATAAATAGAAATTAAACTATAATAAAGAAAGGAAATAAGTTATCTTTAAATAGGTAAACTAAAAATTGCTGATAATAGTTTAATTCTTTCAATTGGCTGGGGAATCCATGTACTTGACAGCTATACTGTGGTGCTTGCTGCTAAAGTTCTCCATAACCCTCCCCCACCCACACACATACACCTTTATTGTTATCTTCTATATTTCACTAAAATGAGATGTTCCTCAATATTCATTTACTAAATCACTGATGTGGCCGATGGCTCTACAACTAAATTGGAATTTGTCCTCCTGTCATTTCCATAACTGTGAAATTGTGGTTGGTATATATCTATCATCCTTCTGTTCCTCTGAAATGCCATGTTGGACACTTGTGATGGGTGCTATTGACAAGAATAAATGAACCAGTAATATGATGCCAGAAAATATAATTTGGTTTTTAACCTGAGAACATTCTGAAACCTTAAAACTTTGTTTCATTAAACAGCCCAAGATGAGAGAAGTCACTCAGTTCCAACATAGACTTTCATCAAGGAGGTGTCAATGTTCAAGTGAACTTAAAATTGGTATTTATAGAGTAAAAAATCTAACGGAGCCTGTATCCAAGTTTTTACTATGGGAAAGGATGAGGCTGTCACTGCTATTGGTTCTCCATAATTTTCAAGAGAGAGCCTTGTGAAGAATATAAATATTATTTACAAAACAGAGGAAATAGGTTATCTATTATGGTCTGCAAGATATAGATCTGCCAAAAATATATATATATATATATAATGCAATTTCAGTTTGAGTTTTTCATTGACTTCATCCTTGAATGCTTCTTAGTCACTATATGTAATATAATTAAGGTGTTAAATAAGAATGGGAATAGGAGGCAGGCATGAAAGAATACAGAGTAAAAAGGAAAAAGTATTTTCTGATATGTCCGATACATTAGAGGGCAGATGTAAGCTTTAATCCACTACTGGTTATACAACTAGGACATTATGAATTGCTTTGGTTGTGTGAAAATTTTGATTCAAATTTTAATTTATTTACAAAAAGAAGTCTTTAAAAATTTAAGTTTAATTTTAAATAGAAAACGTTTCAAAAGTCAATATAAAGAAGATATACATTTAAAAATTTTATTCAAACATTTGTACAACATCTTTTATGAGTTTCTTGTGTGGATTTCCAGAACTTAAACAAATAATAGCAAATTGGAACATTTTCTTTTCATCCCTCTTCTATACAACAAAGTTAATATGTTATAGACTATCATGCACCTTGCTTTTTTTTTTGATGTAAAGGTATTTTGGAGCTCTCTCTACTGCAGTACATAAAGAATCACCTTATCTTTTGTTTACAGTATAATATCCTAGATATAGGGCATTTGATCCTTTTTATTATTCACTTTGTTTATTCCTTTATTTATTCTATTTAATATACTTCTCATCTCAGATAATGTGTTCTTCATTTCAGACTGGTTCCCTTTTATAATTTCCATTTCCATTTTTATGTTTTTTATCTCTTTGTTGAAGTTCTCACTGAATTTATCTACACTTCCCAAAAGTTCATTGAGCATCTTTATAACCAGTGTTTTGAACTCTGCATCTGTTAGATTACTTGACTCCATTATATCTGGATCTCTGTTCTGTTCTCACATATGGTTTCTGCTTCTTTGTCTTCCGATTTTGGCTGCCTTTCTGTGTCTGTTTCTATGTCCTAAGCAAAGCTCCTAAGTCTCCCGGTCTTATAAGTGTGGCTTTTTGAAGGAGGTGACCAGTGGCACAGTCCTGAGGGGTTCAGCTGCAGGCCAAATTTAGCCCAAGCTTCTACCCCTCCAGGGCCACCTGTTAAGATTCAGCAAGCAATCCACAGATGCTCTGTTTATAGTTACCTCAAATGGCCACCAGAAACCAAGGCCAGCTGCCTCTAGTGTGAGTCGAGGCGCTGCTCAGTAAGGGGCACCTGACTTGCTGAGGATATACCTGGATGTGGCTTGGGTGGGGTCACGAGTTGGGGGAGGCGGGGTTTCAGAGAATCTTTTGGGCAGAGTGACCTCTGTTATCCAGTTTGATGATGTCTCCACTATGACGGTGCTATGTCCGCCCACTGGGAGAGGGGAGGGCTCATCAGGGAACAATGGATACCTCCGGCACTTCTGCACATAGTGAGTCTCGCCAATGCCCTCACTCTGACAATGTTTCTCTGTAAGTCCCTGGTTACTCCTGCGCGCAGCCAAATCGGCACTGGTGCTCAGAGCAAGCAGGTCCATCACCGCAAAAATCCACTTGCAGACACGGCCCCTTTAAGAGGCATCTGCCGCTGCAGCAGCCTCTGTCCCACTCAGCTGCTCTAGACCAGGCAGTCCCGTGTCCTTGCCCTGTCCTACCTTCTGCCGTTGCAGGGTGATTTCTTAGATTTCTCCCTAGTTGTAAGGCTTGTTCATCAGGATCCCGGACATTTTTCTTGCTTCTGCTCCTTGTTTTCATCAAAACTTTGATTTGGCCGCCAGAGGGATGAACAGAGCCTCTATTATCTACACTACTTTTTATTCTCTGGGAGGCTTTTGATTATTGATTCTGTTTTATTGGTGGTAATTGGTTGGTTCAGATTTTCTATTTCTTCTTTACTTAGTCTTGAGAGATTGTATGTTTCTAAGAATGTGTTTATTTCTTTCAGATTGTCCTGTTTGTTGGCATATAATTACTCGTAGTATTTTCTTATGATCCTTTTTTATTTCTGTGAAGTTCGAAGTTATTTCTCCTTTCATTTCTGATTTTATTTATTTGAATCTTCTCTCTTTTTTCCTTGATGAGTCTGGCTAAGGGTTGTCAATTTTGTTTATCCTTTCAAAGAACCAGCTCTTGATTTCATTAATCTTTTGTTTTTCTAGACTCTATTTAGTTTATTTCTGCTCTGCTCTTTATTATTTTCTTTCTTCAATTAACTTTGGGCTTTGTTTGCTGTTCTTTTTCTAGTTCTTTTAAGAATAAGGTTAGATCGTTTATTTGAACTATTTTTGTTTCTTGAGGTAAGACTGTATTGCTATGAATTTCCCTCTTAGCATT